GTTCATGGATTTGAATTCTATTCACGATCCACAAACGCGAGCATATATCATTGCAGAAAGAACGAGAATTTTACAAAAAAAATCTCAAGAAGGAGGGTCATCAGCTGGATTTGGGAATCTGTTTGATGGTCTCGGAGGGTCTGGAAGCGGGTTGAATGATTACTAATTTCTAAATTTCTATGTGCCATGTATGTTTTAATTATGTTTTAATTTTAATTGTAATGGGGTTATTAATTGTAATTTTAATTATGCTATTTCTTTAAGTACCATTTGTATTCTGTTATAATGTTGTTTGGATTTGAAACTTTATTTATAATATTGTGTGATTCAAATTTTATTATATTTTTGTATATCAAATTAATAATTTTAATTTGTTGTTCTATAAGGATGTTTTTACTTGGACTGTAATTTGTCTCGGGATCAGATCAGACCTGATTAGACCACACTTGGGTAGTTATAAAAATACAAAGATATCAAATCGACCACATCATTTCAGATCAGACCAGATCAAATCAGACCAGACCAGACCAGAGCGGACAAACCAATTTCAGTCCAAGTAAAACATCCTAATTTGTTGTTTTAAAAATGGGTCAAAACTATAATAATTAAAAGTTGAAGGTCACATTTAAAAGGAAAATAAATTAAAAAGGTGGATGGTGTTGAGAATGGTGTACGCCATATATGGCGTGAAGCCATCTCCTCTCCACCAAAATGGTGTGATGGTGTGGAGAATGGTGTGATTGTTGGAGAGGATTTTTGGCAAATACACCAAAATGGTGTGTGATTTGGTGGTCTCTTGGAGATGGCCTAAAAGTGACATTAAATGTCAAACTAATATATTCACATAGAAAAACATGACATTAAAATTTTACTAGTAATGTATTTGCAAAGGATTAATTTCAATTTTAATGCCGTAACGTTAGCAACAATTATGAAAATTTGGAATTCAAATGATAAATTTAATTTGTAGCAGTAAAAAAATCATTGACATGAATGTAAAAAAAATACTCCGTATTAGCTTAAAGTAAGAGATAACATAAAAAAGTTAGAAAAAGCAAAAAAGTGAGAAAAATTGAAAGAGAAAAGGAAGATTGAAGAAATCATCATACGGATCTCACAGTAAAAAAATGCGGATCTCAGAGGAAAAATAAATTTTTATATATGAAAAAACATGGCATTATAGGTCATGTTTTTGCCCTGTGGAAGGAAATAATGTCATAAAAATGGCATTAATGTTAAAAATAATATTCACATAGAAAAGCCGAAAATTATGGCATTAATTGTATTGATTTTGCAAAGGAGTAATATTTTCATTTTAATGGCATAAAAATTAGCAGTACAGGGAAGGAAAAGGCATTATTCAAGTATTAAAATGACATTATTTACCAAACATATTGAAAAACATGTCAATTTTAAAATAATTTTTCCATCTTAATAAATGTAATGTTATGATAACAGCATTGTTTTCAAATAAGGTTTCAAAAAATAAACATTAGCTATAGATTTTTTAGATCCAAAATCATTAAATTGAAAATTTCAAAATAAATAAATTAAAATTAATAGATAAAAATTAGATTAAATATTTTTAAATCATTGGGCTTTTTGTATTTTAATAATACAAAATTTAGATCTGAAATTTCCATATGCACAACTTGTGGAGCCTCACATACTTCAAAACCCCCAAACCTTTATTTAAAAAATTCCATGTTGAATCAGAAAAATTAAAAAAAAATCAGAGATCCAAGTGAAGAAGAAGAAAAGAAGAAAAGAGGAGGACGAAAGGTTGAAGAGAAAGAATAGATGGAAGATACTTACCGGAGAAAGGATTCGCACCGCGTCGCCGGAGTCGCACCACGTCGCCGGAGTGGAACCACGTCGCCGTAGCAGCACCATGTCGCCGTAGTCGCACGTTGCCGGATTCGTCGATGCTGCCGTAGTAGAAGATCTGATATATTGTTTGAGGGATTGGGGTTGGAGAAGAGATGAGAGGGAGAGAAGATAGAGAAGATAGAGAAAAGAGAGAGAGAAAATGTTGGGGTGCGTAAGAAATGAGAAGGGAGGGAGAGAAATATGGAGGAGAGAGAAGGTTGTGGGAAGAGGCAAATTATACCGTACGACCGGTATACCATGAGCATGGTATACCAGTACTAATACGGCACCGTTTTTTTCTTATTAAAAGCAACCGAGAATTTTTTTTCTCCCTTAGCCAGTCGCTGCTCTTCTTCGCTGCTAGTGCTTCGTCTTTTTTTTTTCTCTTTCTCCATCACACTTCTGACGCACACACTCCTCCTCCTCCATCACACTTCTGACGCAACACACTCCTCCCCAATTGTCATGTAATCCATCTTTGCATTCAATTCGGAACAAAAATTTCATCAATCCAAAAAATTAACATAGATTCATTTAGTGCTCAAATAAAATAAACTTTAAAAATGATTTTTCGTTAAAACATATTTATGACCTTAATATTAAAAACAAAACATATTCACCATTTATGTAAATTAATTGCAGAATTAAAGTCCGTATTTTCATTGTTTACATTTGATATTATATGGAGTTACATTTTCTTATTCGTGAGTTACATCTGTTTATGCATGAGTTACATCTTAATGCATGAGAGTTACACCGCGAAATAAACCCATTATAATGACCAAAAATGATTTTTTAACTACATCTTTTTGTATAGCCCTAATATTAAAAAAATATATTCACTATTTACAAAAAGTAATGGGTAATTAAGATCATTTTCATTATTTGCATTGAAATTAATGTTTATAACATGGATATATATAAATAAAAGATAGTTCACATTTCAACTTTTCTAGATTTGCATTTTAATGTACACAAATTACATCTTAATGTACGCGAGTTACACTACTAAATAAACCTCAGCCTACTTATGATTAAATAATGATTTTTAACTACATTTTTATAATCCTAATATTAAAAATAAAACACATTCACTAATTACAAAAAGTGATTGAGCAATTAGGATCAATTTCTCATTGAAATCAATGTTTTTTCCTTATATTTCGTTTTAGACAATTTACATTTCAACTTGACTAAAGTTACATTTTTATCAAAGTGAGTTACATTATGTTAAACGGGAGTTACACAACCTGCTACTGAAACACACACAAAAAAATCACTGTTCACCCGTGTCACTGTTCATGCCTATTTTACCTCCTGGGAGCACGGTGCTCACAGTGAGCCGGTACCACGATATAACAACTGGTGGGAAGATGTGATAAGTGAAATAGATAAGGAATACGGAAAGTCAAAAATAAAGAGGGGTATAATTGGAATAGTCAATTAGTCGATCCTATTCAGGGAAAAAATTATTAGGAACTCCTAATTTGGAACTTTCTTATTATTTTACTCCTATTTAGGGTAATAACTTAATAAATAATGAAGAGATGAGGAAAGAGAAAAAGCAATGCTTTGTAGTTGGTTGTCAGAAGGTGGCACCAAGGGTCTCAATGTAGACCCTTTGCCGGACGTGTGCTTTGCCAAGTCAGCTCTTGGGAGTCCATTTATTTTTGGATTGGAGAGTGCATATGAGTATAGAGAGTGCATTTGATGAGTTGGCATCCCAATCCATCCCAGCATTGGAGTTGCTCTTAGATTGTTAGAGATAAGTTAACGGCGTTATCTTTTTAATCTTGAATTGATAGATTGTAATCTTATAGGTCCCTTATTGATAGAATTGTTCTTTCGGGCCAGAATTGATAGTAAAGTTACCTTTTAGATCCTGGACCGATAAAATTCCATTAAAAATTAGTTCTATTTTATCTTGGATCCCACTTGGTGCTCGTCTCCCTTCAATGCTTGATGTGCTGATTGGCTTGTCTTTCCCCTTCTTGGTACATGTTAGGAAATAAGCCTGGATCGTCACCCAAATTTTTATGTATCGAGGTTAATTATAACCACACAATACCGCAACAACAATAAAAGAGTATTGAGAAGTATAAATATAACTATAAAACGACACAAGTATTTACGTGGTTCAGCCAAATTTCTTTTGACCTACATCCACAGGTGAAAATGGAGCAGCTTTTATTATATTGTGGGATAAGGACAAAATAGCTCAAACTGATAGAGCTATTACAGAGATAATTTCTGGAAGCAGAATACAAGAGGGAAAAAAGATGACCAATAGCTCAAGAATGATTTTTATTTCTGGCTAACTCATTCACACTCTCTAGCTTGCTTAAACTCTGCCCAAACACAAACTTATATATAGGCAAATAAGTGTGAGACATCATCATGGCTGTGGGACCCATTTACTATTTGCTTTTGACAAATTACTTCTTCTTCCCTTCTTTTCCACATTTCCTTCGGCAGTATCTTTAACAATGCCCCACCAAATTTCTTCAATAATTTTCTCAACAATAGCTGCTGCCAAAATTCTTCCATAACCAATAATCAGTAACCCATACTTCTATTTGCAAGTATGATACAAATACAAACTTAACAGTACAAAAGTTTGTTTGAGTTGGGACCTATTCTGGGTGAATGTATTCCTCAAATTTGGTATTTTCACCAAAGACGTTGGGCAGCCTTGAGTATCTTTTATACACGGTATTAAATATAACTAGAAATTTTTGAGAGTATATATGAAGATGTTTATACTTCTCAACTTTGATCTTTTTTCGGTTATGTTGAATGAGTTAGTGATAAATTTACTTACAAGGAGGTGATAAATCAGTGATGATAACGTGTATGAAATAGAAGAAAATAAGTTTAAAATCAGGGGAAGAGATTATATTAAGTATGCTCTTAAAAGAGCTGTTTTAATGATGTGCTAATTAAGAAAGACTGGCAAGAAAAAGTGTGAGCTCAATTGAAATAAAGAATGATTATAGTCGCACACTTATCACATTGAAATCATATGGCTATAATTGAGATTTCTTAGTTTTTTAGATAATAAACCATAATCATGAATAGTTAGAGGATTGAGGAGTATTTTTTTACTACATATGTAATAATTTATAAATAAATTCAAATTGAAGTTCTACCACAAAATTTTATAAATTGTGTTACGCATTTTTTTGATACATCAGGATAAATTGTGTTACACATGGTACAACATAATTAGAAATTCAATAACAACATTAATTTAAACATATCAACTGTTTAATTATGGTTTAAGAGAGTGGATTGTAAGGGGTAGCTACTAAATACAGATCGTCCTTCTTCCCGGCAGTAATTCCCGACGATTCCGCCAAGTCCACGCTCCGGCAATACTCCGGTCCTCGCGGCAGCTTCCAGTCAAAGTGATAGAGCAATTTAGCCAAAGGGAGATACACATTTGCCAAACCAAAGGAAAGCCCCGGGCATATCCTCCTCCCGCTCCCAAAAGGAAGGAACTCAAAGTTATTCCCCAAAAAGTCAACGCTGCTATTCTCGAACCGCTCCGGAACAAAGCTTTCCGCATTCTCCCAGTAAGCCGGGTCAGTGCTTATGGACAAAACGTTGACCATGATCCACGTTTTGACCGGGATGGTGTACCCGTTTATCTCCGTCTCCTTTATGCATTCTCTCGGGATTGAGAGCGGCGACGGCGGGTGGAGGCGGAGCGTTTCTTTGACCACCAGTTTCATGTATTTCAGCTCTTCCACATCCTTGAGGTCAAACTCTTTCTTCTTAATGAAAGCTCTTCTCACTTCAGCTTGAGCCTCGGCCAGCACGGCCGGGGCTCTGAGCATCTCGACCATCGCCCAGATGATCGTCATTGACGACGTCTCCGTCCCGGCGGTGAACATGTCGAACACGACGCCCTTGATGCTGTCGTCGGTGACCGGGAACTGAAGCCCGTCGGAACGCTTCATCCTGAGTAAAACGTCGATCAGATCCTCGCCGCCCGACTCGCCATTCCCCTTGTTGCCGGCGTCTAAACTCTTCTGGTGGCCGTTGATGACGCCGTTAAGGATGGCGTCGACCCTTTTGTGGATCTTGAGGATCTTCCGCCGCATTGGGCTGAGCCCGTGGAGGAGCTTGAGGGAGGGGAATATGTCCGCCACCTCGAACCCGCCGAGCAAAACAAGAACGTCTCTTATGTGGGTGATGAACTCATCGCCCTCCTCGAAAACGCTCCCGAAAGCCGACCGGCAAGTCATGGAGCTCGTGAACCGGAACACGAGCTCCGTCAGATTCACCGGTCGGCCGCCGTGGGAGGTGACGGCGTCCAGAAGGCGAGACACTTGGTCAAGCCGGATGGACCCGAAGCTCTGCACGTTCTTAGAGCTGAGAAGCTCGACGATGCAGATCTTCCTCATCTGCCTCCAGTAATCCCCGTACGGCGAGAAGACGATGTCGGACCGGTTGTACCCCACGATCTCCGGGACCATGAGTTTGGGCCGGGAGGCGAAGGCCAGGTCGTGGGTCTTGAAGATGGCCTTCGCCATGTCCGGGGAGGAGGCGATGACGGCCGAGACCTCGCCGAGCTGGACGTGAATGAGGGGGCCGTGTTTCTCGGCGAGGTCTCTTAAGCGCCGGAGCGGGAAAGCTCCGGCTAGGTGGTGCATGCTTCCAATGAGAGGGAGCGTCGACGGACCCGGCGGTAGTTTCGCGCCTCTAGACGACAGCGACCTCTTTCTTTTCCATTCGGCGTAGAGTGCTATGGCGAAGCCAGTGAAAGAAAGGAAGGGGAAGAAAGATAAGAGGTTAGAGACCAAATCCATGGTTTGATAACAGTTGGAGTCAGTTGATGTTTTATGCCCTTAAGTACGTGTTAGGATAGACAGAGACTGGGTTCATCACTTATATATAGCGTGTTTGGGCCATCTTGCCAGTTAAAAATATTAATAAGACCAAAATAAATTAAAATATTAATTCCATCTTGCCGGCAAAAGTCAATTCCTTGTGAGCCGGCTGTCCTTCAAAGTTGACCTATTATTATCAATTTAGCCAAATAATGCAACAGAAAGCGAGCATTGCCCAATGAGACTCTAAAGGTCATTTTGCCTAATAAAGATATGCAAGTAAACGTTAGTATGGGCTCTATGGCCAATGTATTTTTCACCCAAAACCAGAGACTGATAATGGCTATAAAGAACGGGAGTTGGGTTGCTGATTTTGTTGACTTCAGCAGACAACAATGTTTTTGGAAGGGGATACAGAAATTGACCTAAATGAGTAAAAACGTTTTGAAATTCCAAAATAAAAGTATCATGTTTTTTATTCCCTGAATAGGAGTAAATTTCTGCCAAGTTTGATATTACAAGGCTTTTAAACATGACATTTTCTTCCAAACTTGGCAAATGACTCCTATTCAAGGAATAAAAAACATGATTCGATACTCCTGTTTTGGAATTTCAAAACGTTTTTACTCCTATTTAGGAAATTCTTTCAAGGAGATATGGTTCAGGGACTTCAGGCATATGTAATAGGCCTGCCCATTTGCTAGTTGCAATTCATCTGGTCCATCTCTCGTCTTGGACTTTGGCTAAATCTCTGAGCAATTCGGTTAAGAGGAAATTTATTAATTTATTTTGACAGATTTAATATTCCTTATTTTAGATACTTTTGTTGAAGATGGAGCCTTGTTTGGAATGCAGGAGTATATACCCGATCGGGTATGTTGGGTTACCCGATCGGGTATGAGGTGTTTGATGGGTCGAGTATGTGTAAAAACACTACTCGGGCAGAATTCTGGAATCTATACTCGATCGAGTATGTATGTATACTCGATCGAGTATACGGGAAAAATTAATGACGGGATTAATTTTTGGGCCTGCGGCCTTAACCCTTATTTAGGCTTTCTTAAACCTATTTAAACATCCCTAATGTATCTGTAAACACACCAGACGCTGGAATAATAATACATCTCTCTCTCGTTCGCCGTGGACTAGCGTAATCACACCGATTGCGTGAACCACGTTAATTCTTGTGTTCTTGCTTTAAATTTATCGTTTATCTTAGCCTAATCGTGATAATTAACAACTGGTATCAGAGCTATGGCTGACGAAGGGAAGGTTAAGATCGATAAATTTGATGGTCAAGATTTCGCTTTCTGGAAGATGCAAATCGAGGATTATCTCTACCAGAAAAAGCTTCATCTACCCTTGTCTGAGAACAAGCCAGAGACGATGGCGGAGGCGGAGTGGAACTTGTTGGACCGACAGGCTCTTGGTGTGGTGAGGTTGTCGTTGGCGAAAAACGTTGCTTACAACATCGTCAACGAGAAGACAACGTTTGGACTGCTCAAGGCGTTATCCAACATGTACGAGAAACCCTCAGCGGCCAACAAGGTTTTCTTAATCAGACAGTTGGTGAATACAAGAATGAAGGAAGGTGCATCCGTGACAGATCACATCAACGAGTTTAATTCAATCATATCCAGGTTAGGATCGGTTGAGATTAAATTCGATGATGAAGTTCAAGCACTACTTTTGTTATCATCTTTGCCCGATAGTTGGTCCGGTACAGTCACAGCAGTTAGTAGTTCGGCTGGAACCACTAAGCTTACCTTTGAAGGTATTCGTGACTTAATCCTTGGTGAGGATATCCGGAGGAGAAGTTCGGGGGATAGCTCCAACAGTTTGTTGAGTACTGAAGACAGGGGCAGAAAATCCACTAAAGGGGGTAACAAGAAGGGAAGATCAAAGTCGAGGAAGAGGGGTCAATCCAAGAACAGGAAGGACATCAATTGTTGGAATTGCAAGGAGAATGGACACTTCAGAAATCAATGCCCAAAAGCCCCAGCAGACAAAGGCAAGAAGGAGGTGAATGTGGCAGAGGATTATGAAGATGTTCTAATTTGCAGCGTTGAGAATTCAGTTGAGTCCACTACAACAAAACTGACCTTTTGTAACGCTTCAAAATTGTTGCATTACATAGCTAAAGTGTTACGAAAAGGCTAATGCAACATTTTGATGAGTGCTACATCAGGTCTCGTTGCATAAAGCTATATGCAACACTTATCAACATGTAAAGCAACATTTAACATAAGTGTTACATAAATTCCTCAAACGCAACACTAATTTGTAACACTTTGCTTAACATGTTATGCAACACTTTTTTTAGTAATATGCAACACCCATGAATCAATTTATGCAACACTCTTTTGAGTAAAATGCAACACCTATGTGTCACTTTTATGCAACACCCTTATTATGTTTATGTAACATATTTATTAGATCTTATTGCAACATTTAAGTTAAATTATGCAACATTTATATCAAAGTTTTACGTAACAATTTTTTTAAGTGCAACATTGTTTTATAGTTTATGCAACATTATTTCTTAGATTGTATATTATTAAATTGTGTTATTTCGTAATATCTTTAGATGGTTTTGAACTTTTGAATCGTTTTGATCATGCTCAACTTTCAAACATATTCTTAACACGTAGTGACGAAGATAATAACACACAAAAATATTTAAAACATTAAAGTCATAAGAAAATATTCTTAATTATATTCCACACATATATATATTGTCTCATACTATGTTTGACATACCAAACTTTTCAAATACTACATTAAATAAACACATATTATCATATGTGTTTAATATGTGTTACTTTATCCTCCACCACGATCAAATGTCTTCAGTTTATCCACGTTGGCGAGAATGAAGGTGTAGTCGGAATATTCCTAGCTCTTGTGTTGGGACTTGGGACCATGGAAGCTGCTATCCAATCAAATTGACTAAGCAGTTTGCTCAAAAGGCGCATTATTGCAGCGGCTCGAAACAACAGGTGCATATCATGATTGGTTCCAATGCAATGATCTAAAAACAATAAACGACTTCATTATATGTGTCTGGTTCGTGAATCCTGATCTTCATAAAAACGGCCCTCATCACTACTATCATGTCCATGCGAGAGAAATAAAGAGATAAAATAAGCAAACAGAAAATAAACACTTCAGAAGTTAATAAAAGCAATTAGGAAAAAATAAATATGTTGATATTCACAAATAAAATTTCCAATTGTTTATACCTGGTGCAGTTCCAGCTCTTCCTGCTCCCAACATTGTCCATTGTTATCCATTGTTATCAGGAAGCAAAATCATCATCTTATAACACAAGTTAATCACATAACAACTTCAATGTAATAACATATGGAGTACATCATATATCAGGTATTCTAACAAAGTCCAAATATCATACGGAGTAGTAGTATATTGTACCAACAACTTGTAAGATACAGTTAAATAGTTTACTTATGCATGATTTAACACCAAAACTCAAACTAGTTCCATCAAGTCATATATACCAAACAAAGTCCGTGTCTTACTCTATTGTGAAGGTATTGGGTCTACGAGAATATTTTTTACATGAATAAATGAAAAACAAAGCTATGTACTTTAATATTTTTTATTATGAATTGCAATAACAAGAGTTAATGGTTATACCTTCCAGAATTGCATCATTTGGGAACACCCCACCACTAATGAAGGAGAAAAGGAAATTTATGAAAAACTAGAAATTTATGACACACTAGATATCTTAATTCTAAAACTCTTAATGAAAAACTTAAAGTAAATTACCTATTCACAAAGATATTTATTTCTTCATCTCAGAATATGCAATCCACCTGTAGGCTGATAGTCTGAGACAAATAGATGAATAATAGGAGCTAAAAACAAACTTCTATAAAACTTTCAGAGCTCAGTGAGACTATCAAATGCCTTTGTCATCCTCCGACTTTTTTATATAACACCTAAATTGGTTCCTTAAACATTAGGTTATGATATTTATATCATTTGCTTGTATATTAAAAAGTCAACTTATTAGCCAGGATCCTGGTGTGGATTTCAGTCATTTCACTGATGAAGGTTGAAAGGCAGATATACTGTTAGTCACTGAGCTGATAAGGTTAAGAATATAAGGAACGGAATAAACGGTGAAATTGGGCATTGTTTTAGAAATTGGAATAAAAAACTAATTCATGAGCAGTGATCGATAGCATGACTGCCCACAATAATCCAACACTGTCAGAATTTAGAGGAAGTTTATAATAAGGCCATGGTTGAATATGAACTAGATTTCTTGAAGAAGAGTCATAGGGATAATTATCATACCAGAAATTTATTGAAAGGTTTTTTTAATGTCCGAGACAGCATAAGAAAATCTTCTTTTGCTGAAAATCAAGTACTAATTTCCATCATCCGATCCCCAAAAGTAGAGTAAACTAAATAGTAGATTTCTTTTCTAATCCTATTTACTATTATTAGATAATTTTTTCAAAAAATCACAAGGTGCTGCTGCTTGAGTTTTACAAAGGTATTACTAAGACAATTAAAAGAAAATCTCATAGATACATTTTAACAAACACCTTGTGGACATTCCACAATTGGTATACCAACAATGCATGCTCTATCTTTGGTTTCAAGATGGTAAGCAAAATCTATACAAAACTCAAATTCAAATCAAACCTTAGGTATAAAACTATTTCATTATGAAATCCTTAATACTTCTTATTAAAGAGATGAAATTATACCTAAATACGACCATTTTTTGGGTGTTCATTCTCAGATTGGTAATATTCAAGTTCTATCTCAGATTGGATTTAATGCCCTGGAGTTTCATGCCACTAAATTAAATCATTCACGGTTTACAAATTACCAACAAATAAACTCGAAACTGAGAAGGACATAGCCATTGAAGAGAATATTGAGAGTTTACCTGGAAGAGATCTGTTTGTCGTCGAAGTGGCCGGGAGCAGCAGGGCAGCGTCTTCTTCGTCGAAGTCTTCAGGACCAGCGGTTGCGGCGTCGTCCTCTTCTATCAAAGTCGCCGTTCTA